AGTTGATGCAGAAACCAACAGAAACTGTTTCCTGTAACTTAGTGTGTGGTTTCCTGTGAATGAAGCAGCCCTTCTTTACTGATGCGAAGTCCTGCTACAAGTCAAACTTTTGCTGTGTCTCTGGTAGATTAGTTTGGAGGCTTTCAAAAGTGATGTGATCTCAGTTACTAGAGCTGATTTTTAAAATTTAGAGCTCGAGGGTTCTCTTGAGTTTGACAGAGCATGAACATAGGCATTGCTCAGGAGGAAGGCAATGACTTTGCAGGGAATACAACTTTCTTACTCCTTAGCTGAAGGGGCTCTCCTGGGAGGAATTAGAATTTAATTTGTTGCCAGGTTGCCCTACTCTAGCACTCAAGAGACATTCTCCCCCAGATTTCCCCCCTAATCCTGTCTTGTGTATACAGCTTTGGGTCTTAAGTCATCTGACTGGCCAGGAGTTTTGGGGATACCACCCATGGAGGATAAATAAGTCATGTTTGTAAGGACAGAAGTCAAGTGTAATTAGGAATTGACAAAGGTTCACATAGTCTAAGTTACGGTTTTTCCAGTAGTCATGTATGGATGTGAGAGTTGGACCATAAAGAAGGCTGAGTGCCAAAGAATTGATGCTTTCAAACTGTATGCTGGAGAAGACTCTTGAGTGTCCATTGGACAGCAAGGAGATCAAACTGATCAATCCTAAAGAAAATCAACCCTGAAATTTATTGGAAGGACTAATGCTGAAACTGAAGCGCCAATATTTTGGCCACCTGATGCAAAGAGCCAAATCATTGGAAAAGATTCTGATGCTGGGAAAGATTGAGGGCAAGAGAAGGGGACGACAGAGGTGGTTGGCTGGCATCACTGACTCCATGGACATGACTTTGAGCAAGCTCAGGGAGGTGGTGAAGCCTGGCGTCCTGCAGTTCATGGGGTCCCGAAGAGTCGGACACGACTTAGCATCTGAACAACAACAATGCATCCTTTCCATGGAAGTCATTTAACAGCTAGTGTAATAAAAGAATGAATTCATAAGCCACATCATTTCACAATAATATCATGAGAGCAAACAATGTATTTAATGTGTTACCTGAAGTTTCTTAAGAAAAAAACCTCAAGGTAACACTTAAGAGAAATATATAATGGAAAACATCTGTAAGTTCTTTGATCAACTGTTAATATAAAATTATATGTAAGAATCCAATGAACTCATGTGTATATGTTGATTAAGATTTAGAAGTCTTGTTCTTTCAATTAGAAAAACGGAAGTTGTTATTAAATACCTACACATCAGAGGGCCCCAAATTTAAGTGCTTTGCTGTTTTGAGTTTGCTGATAGAGGCTGAACTGTGGCCTTTGGTCCTCTATTCGGGTCTTATTCTGAGTTGAGGATAGGATCGAAGATAAAGTAAGATTTGCTGACAGAATTTATAACTTCAATAAAGTTTATAGTATGATCTTATCAGCCTAAATCATAAAGAAACAGGAAGGAACTTGGAAATCCCACCTTAAAAAAACACACAAATAATGGTACTAATCCTTAAAGCATTTTTATTTTATTATTATTATTTTTTTGCTGGCAACCATGGACTCCTGAATCAGACAGCTTTGCTGTGTAATGAGTCACTTCAAAATTTAATGCGTTAAAACAACCTTTTTAAAAATTTCTCATGAGTTTGTGCATTGGCTGGGCGATTTTTATCTGAGTCAGCTTACAGATTTGGAAAAAATGTAGATAACAAGCAAACATAGATTTAATAAATATCCTTAATAAGTTTCAAATGATAAAGTCACTGTCATATAGATCTTGTCTCACTATATTTAGAAGCAAAGTGAAATATGTCCCTATTTATATAAAATAAATAAACTTGGGTTTAATTGTATTCCTTTAAGTAAATTGTATGTACATAAATATTAAATGCCATCTTTTATTATTAAGTTGAATTAAATAAAATAAGCTCTCATTTGGTGTTATCAAGTATTTTTGAGATAGTCTTCTTTAGTAATACAATCTGATTAATAGCATTAATATATAATAGCATGCATGAATTACCAGTTTGTTACCTTAAAAATAATAATAAAATATAATGGCCAACCAAGACATTGTTTCTATATATGGACTCATACATAAAAACATATGTATTTTTACCAAATATTAATTCTGAAAATCTATTATTATTATTATTTTATTGGAGCACAGTTGATTTACTATGTTGTATTAGTTTCAGATGTACAGCAAAGTGAACCTGCCATATATATATATATTGAATATATATATAAAGTGAATCTGTTATATATATATTATACGTATATATTTATATACATATATATTTATATATTTCCATTCTTCTTTAGATTCTTTGATTCTTTTCCATATAGACCATTAAAGAGTTCTGAGTAGAGTTCCCTGTGCTATACAGTAGGCCCTTATTATTTATTTTATATATAGTAGTGGGCATATGTTAATCCCAATCTCCCAATTTATCCCCCCTTCCCATTTGCCCATTGGGAACCATAAAATTGTTTTCTATATCTGTGACTTTTTTTGTTTTGTAAATAAGCTCATTTGTATCATTTTTTTAAAGATTCCATATATAATTGATATAGTTTGATATTTATCTTTCTGTCTGACTTACTTCATTCAGTATGACAATCTCTACGTCTGTCCATGTTGCTGCATATGGCATTATTTTGTGCTTTTTATGGCTGAGTAGTATTCCATTATATATATGTACCACTTTTTTTAATCCATTCCTCTGTCAGTGAACATTTAGGTTGCTTCCATGTCCTAGCCATTGTAAATAGTGCTGCAATGAATACTGGGATGCATGTATCTTGAAAAGCTATTATTATTATGGAGACTATAAAACTCTAGGATTAGGAGAAGACAACTTGAGGAATGTAGAGGTTTGCACACTCAAGGAGAGAGAAGAAGGTATCACAGTAAAGCAAAATATTAGTCCTGCCAGGGACTTGAGAGAGAATTTCTGATACCCTCATTTTGTAGTGAAGACACAAGGCAAACACATTCTGAATTACATCTACAATAAGAACAATTCTAGATTTCACTCTTTTAAACATATGTTTCCTGTAGTCTCTTAGGGGAGGAAAATGGGGAAGATACTTGAATTCTGTTAGGGAGGTCTGAGACATATGTGTTTTTACTCTTTGTAAACTACTTTAGAAAATTTAAAAAAGAAACAGTGTTGAGTAGGAAATAGCATTTTACTTCTAAAATTAAAAAAGAGACTCTGATTTTTAACTACATAATATTTTATTTAGTGTTCTTACTCTTTACCTGAAGATTTTAATTCATTTTTAAGTGTTGAAAAAAATTGAGGCTAGAACAACTTTCAAAAGACAAAATGAGTTAATGATTTTTCCGAGTTTCTGGTACAGTGAAAAATCACATATATGTCATAAAAGTTTTGCAAAACATTCATAACTAGTTACTATTAAGTATATAAAACATTTATGTATTTCATTTTACTTTGCTGTTTATCCCGAATTCAATTTTACTTTGCTGTTTATCCCGAATTCAATTCAGAAAGGTCAAGAGACGGAGTGGAAATATCGCCACCTAGTGGTCAGTGTGAAGTAAACCTCTAGGTCTACAACACAATGTGCTTCAATTAATGTTTGTGAGCACACCGCATGCTCAGTCGCTAAATCGTGTGAACTCTTCGCAACCCCATGGACTGTAGACCACCAGGCTCCTCTGTCCGTGGGATTTCCCAGGCCAGAATACCGGAGTGGGTCATTTCCTTCTCCAGGAGATCTTCCCAACCCAGGGACTGAACCTATGCCTCCTGCATCTCCTTCTGGCAGGCAGATTCTTTACCACTGAGCCACCTAGACAGCCCGACATTAGTTGACGGGGTGGCAATACATTTTTCAGGCAGAGGAACCGTTTGACGCTTAGTTATTTCTCTCCTCTGCTCCTTGTAATCTCAGCAAAGGCAGGATCATGCTTCATTTTGCTCACCAATGTAGTTCCATGCGCAACAGTGCGTGAGTGCTAAGTGGCTCCAGTTATGTCCGACTCTGCGACTCTATGGACTGGAGCCTGCCAAGCTCTTTTGTCCAGGGGCTTATCCAGGCCAGAATACTGGAGTGGGTTGCCATGCCTTCCTCCAGGGGATCTTCCCCACCCAGGGATCAAACCGCATCTCTTAGGTCTTCTACATTGGCAGGTAGGTTCTTTACCTCTAGGGCTACCTGGGAAACTCAAGGGCCAGCAGTGATGGGCATATAGTAAGGCCTCAATGACACAATGAAAAAAGAAGATACATGTTCACAAAGGCATAAAAGTTAAGATAAAAGTGAGATAAATCAAGTAAATGTAAATATTACACACTCGTTGTGGCTGGTACTGTTCTAATTACTATCTCAATCTATTTTTATTTACTTTTATAAAATGAATTTAGATTGAAAAGCATATGCAGAATTATAAAACATCTTCCCAGGTGGAATATACAAAAGAAGCAGAGACAAGAATGAGTCATCTGTATTTAGTGACTTCTTGGGAATAAATATTGTTTATAATAATATAAATATTATTATTTATTCCTGTATTATTTAGTGACTTCCTGGGAATAAAATAAATATTTCCTTATTAAAATTCAAGTCCACACACATATAAATTATGTGAATATCATTCAGAACAGAAATTCTAGGAAATAGTCTGGTTTCCATATGCGACTCGTCTATAGAAATTACTGTCTTTGTGTTCAGGGCTTTCCTTGGGTAAAAACTGATCAAATATTGCTAGAATATTAGACATGGTTTCTAAAAGGCTTTAAGAATCTTAGAGGTAAATCTCCTATGTCAATATAAAGAAGTTACCCAAGAATAGGACAGAACTTCCAGAGAAGCTACTGGGCTCATGCACCTGTTTTTGTTTGTTTTGTTTATTGCCTATGGCCTGTTAGTGAAATGATATGGTGTTGACCCTCACGTAAACTACTGATGTGAGTATCAGTCTAATTGAAAATGCTGTATCTCTCTTCTCTTTATAGAAAGCATCATCATCCACCAGTTACGTATGAACTCAAGATGAAATGGTAAACCAAGCACATACTGGGTGTGCGTATTTCCTCTGAATCCCTGTTGAATGGATAGTATATCTCCAGCCCTCCACCATCACTAAGGTCCTCCATGCTACTGATCACTACTGGAAATAATTTCCTACTTCCAGTGAATTTTTTTTTGAGGATATAAACGTAAAAACTGAAAATGGTTTTGCTGATAATATAAAAATAGGTAGCAAGAGCAATTCAATCTTTGTGTCAAATTTCTCTTCCTTTGGCAAAGCTTTCAGGTCCACGGGCACATGCTGTGTAATTTATTTTTATAATACACTTTGTAATGTGATTATTTTTTCCTAAAGTGTTTCCTTCTTCATAGTCTATGGCACATGTATTTGTAGACTACACTGTCGGTTCGCCAAAGTATTGGTATTGGTGCGTTCAAAATCGTAAGCTCTGCTTATTTTCTTCTATCAATTTGCTACTCCTGAAAAAAAAGAAAAATAAAGTACAACACTCTATATATTTCCTGGGGTAAATTCAAGAGGTAAAACCAAAGCAGGAGGTCCTGGAAGATCTGTTATTATTGTTTGTACAATCCTCTGGTTCTGATCATGGTTCACCACTAGCAAACAACACTGTGATTTAAGAGTTTAATTTTAAATACTTAAGCCAGTTTTTTAAAGTTGCTGTTTCTGGTGTTCTGTGCCCAAAACCCTGGATGAATTTTTTTTCATATGGAACAAATTAATAGAAGGAGCTGTGTGAGTTTTACCAGTAAGCCTTAAAGGAACAGCTTTTACTGACAATTCTATTGTATTTCTGTTTGCATTATGTACTTACATGTACAGGATGTATAATAAGGACTGTGATATTAGATTATTTCTCACAATCTATCCAAATGAAAGCATGAAAATAAAAACTGACCTAGATACTATCAGCATCTTTTTTTAAAATGGTAAAAGAAATCCCAAGATACGTAAGCTTTTTTCTTGATAGCTAGGATTTGGGCACGTTTTCATAATCCCCTAAAGGTTAGATAATATATTCTTTAAAGATTCAAAGCACAATATGCATTAAGCAAATCTCAGTGTCAGACCTGCTGTTGAATTTAGGTTTATGTGAAAATATGCATCAGAAAACTACTTGAAACTCTAATAGTGTAGGTTTTTTTTAAAAAAGATTTTTGTTAATATGGATGTTTTCAATAAGGTCTTTAAAAAGATAAGTTTGAAGACAAATGAGGAGTGGACACATCAGTTTCTAGGAGCATAAATCATGTATCATGTCACTTTATTGAGATTAAAGAAAGAATGCTTGTTAGCATCACAAGGATAACTAGAAAGCACACAAGTAATATTATTGGCCCGTTTCTCTGGTCCACAACTTTACCCAGGTTCCTGAGGCCATGAGGGGAATACACACTGAATCTATGGAACGGAAGCATTAGGTTTTAAGATATACCTTGTGGAATTAGCAAATCACATTCAGTAGGTATTAAAAATTAAATAATTGTATTTTATGTAAAATTAGTTAAGAGTTTTGTAAGAGAAGTGCTACAGTAGGTTTGTCTTAGCATGAATGATTGTGAACACATCACAGACATGCAGGGCTTTCACTACTAATTAATGAAACGAGTGTGTATGTGTGAAGATTTTAAAAATTGTTGTTATGGGTTTTGATTTCTGAAAATGTTTCTGAACTGGCCATTTCAGTGAGAAGGGGGTTTTATTTCATATTGCTATATTTTTTGACTCAGAGTTAAATTCCCTATTTGCCGATGCTTATACTTCTGATGGCAAAAATATTCTGATATACCACAGAATTTATTTTGAAGCAAATAACTTCCTTAACTTGTGGGAATTTTATTACACAAAGCGTGAAAAGGCTAGAAGATAAAACTTTAAATACTACTTGATGTTAATTTAAAATATTACAAGTAACTTATGTATATTTGGATCTAAAGATTTTGTTTCTCCTGCATTTATAATGAAATTTGTAGAGGATGATGGTGTAATCAGGGCAACACAGATGGTTGCTCTTTTCTGCCCCTCTATGACTAAGTCCTCTCTTTAAACACTAATGGAATGTGAGTGACAGATGAGTAAAATTAATCTAAATTAATAAAAAATTGTCCTGACAAAAATAATAGAATATTTAAAATGAATAGAAAATAAACACAGAAGTCTTCATCTCGTGAATAAACAAACAAGATCATAAATAGTCATACTCCAGTGAAAGTGTGAAAGTGTTAGTTGCTCAGTCAAGTCTGACTCTTTGTGACCCCATGGACTGGAGACCACCTTGCTCCTATGTCCATGGGATTCTCCAGGCAAGAACACTGGAACAGGTTGCCATTCCCTTATCAACATCTGCCTGAAAAAATTGCCCCCGTGTTCAATCCTGACACCATCCCAGCTCACATAATTTCTGTATATTTTATTTTAAGTAAATCTCCAATCATCAGTATGAATGACAATCCATTTTGAATGGAATAAGTATGTTTTCTGAAGCAGAGTCATAATCAGTGTTTCCAGATTAAGGTGCATAGTTGAACTAATTCATTATGTTGTCCTTTTGTTTTTGATAAGAGAATGTGTTCTGAAAGTATTGATTATGAAGATTTTTTTCAAGTATTTCATAAAACATTAAGGTTTGATGAAGTTAGTTGTAAATATTCCAGATATCAGATGCCCTGGAATGGTCACAAAATATGCAGAATTAATTGTATATTAAGACAACCATTTGAAAAAAAATCATGATGTGGAATATATAGCTTAAACATTAACAGAAACACCAATGCTATTGAAGTAACACACAACTTATAAAAACCAGTGACAAAGCAAGTATAAAATGGTGTGTTAAACAATGTAATTAATATGGTTGTGCTTTTTTCTTTATACTGTGGTTGAATTTTCCTGGAAATAAGTTAAAAGTATAGCTAAAGTAGGGTGTGTTCATGAATGTGATGAGCAACAATTCTAAAAACACCAAAAATGCAAGATGGAAGTTTTTTTAAAAAACATCTGGCACCTGAGGCATATGTGCACCTCTGGACTCCATATATGTGCCTCTGGACTCCACTGCTATGCCTCTGCTAAAGATATTAATTAGAAGGCAAAAAGGAAGAACAATAAAAATTGTAACGAATTCATAAAAATGGGGAGAGTTTCATGGAATTATTTTTGCTTGCTGACCACCAAAATTTTTATTTTCTTAAATTTTCAGCATTTACTACATAACTGATGAAAACTGTGTCTATTACCTAGAGAAAATGTCATATATTCCTAAGTTTAGACAGAAATGTTTATCGGTGCCATGACAAGATTCATTTTTTTTTTCTGGTATTGTTTTCTTTTTGTTTGTTTATGTTATTTTGGTAAGTTTACCTCACCATTCACAGATTTTGTTATTTGAACAATTCAGGTCTGTATTTATTTAGACTTTTGCTTTAAAAATATCAGATGTTAACTTTTCCAATATAAGAGATTTATAATGTGATCAAATATTCTTAGAAGTCTTGCAGGTTTAATGGATTTTCTAAAGCAAAAGATTGCATTGAAAAGTTTGTGAGCTGCATTCTATTTTCACAGCATTCTCAATTTTGTCTCCTTTAAGTTTTATTAAATCCATGAAAAGTTTATTATTTTTCACTACAGCCAGGTGAATTTATGGATATATACTTGTCTTTTCTATGAATGTAATATCTTACTTTCATTTTTTCACAGGCCATTGAAATTACTAAACCAATTAAAACATTCTCTGTGTTATTTCCCAAAGCCAACTATGTTTGTCAAAATCTCACCAGGGTGAGAAAAAATAACGATTGTGATACAAAAGCATTTGTGCAATATTCTTTTTTGAATTGGAACATAATAGTTATCAAATTAAAATCATTTAAAATGAATATTTGACCTTCTTTTTACTTAAAATTATTTGCTTTAAAATAGTTTTCCCTTCTGCATTTCGTATTTTCTTTAAAATATGGTGTTTTTCAGTGTGAATAAATAGAAGTCAAATAGCAGATCGCCCAAAATGAGAGAGGTTTTTCTCTGAGTTACATCATGGTTTGATTCCTTAGTGAGATGAAAGCTGCAAGACACAAAGAGATGGAACTGGTTACAGGGTTCCCCTTGTCCATTAGCCTCCCCCAAATGCTTTGTCGATCAACATTCAGAAACTCCCCACTGCCTTCAGCTGTCTGTCTAAAGGTAGATTGCTCAGTAGAGCAAATGCTCCTGAGGTTTTGCCAGCAACCGTCAGCCCAGCCCCCACACAGGCAGCTGGATAATGGTTTCAGAAAAGCAGGGTGGGGATGACGGTGGGGTTGTGCTCTGATCTTGCCAGCCTTGTGCCAGAAATGGTGGTCCATTGCCATAGACAATCCAAAACTTATCTTGGCCTTATTTGAGAGAAAGGAATGGGTTTCTCTTATTTATTATTTAAAGATACACAGATCCAGAAACCAGGCAAGGCTGCTGTCTACACAAAGATGCCTTCCACAGGAAAGAAGCAGACGTTAGGGGTCTTGACCACAAGGAGAGCTCTTTGGCTTCTCTTCTTGGAGGTGTGGCGCCCTTTGGGGTACATGGTTTGAGAGCACTTGCCAAAAGACTGTTTATTTCATGACTTCCTGGGAGAAGGGGTCTCAGGCTTTCCATCATATATGTTCAAATGGATTATTGTCTCTGAGCCCTGAGCTAGAGTCACTTTTAATGAGAACAGTTGCTTCCCCTAAGTATAGAGAAACCAGAGCAACTTACCTGGGCTTTATGCTTGTTGGCAATAGGACACACTGCACCAAATTCTTTTCTTTTTCTTGAATATCATTAAACTCTACATTTATAATTTGTATTCAGTGAATCCCAAGGAACCTACTGTTGCTGCTTAGTCCCTAAGCCGTGTCTCCAAGTGACCCTGGACTGTAGCCTGTCAGACTCCTCTGTCCATGGGATTCTCCAGGCAAGAATACTGGAGTGGATTGCCTTTTCCTTCTCCAGGAAATCTTCCCAACCCAGGGATCAAACCCAGG